GTTAGGAAGGTTCCTAAGCGAAATGGACTATTGGAACGCAACCCGGGCCATTTCACTCGGTTAGGAAGGTTCCTAAGCTAAATGGACTATTCGAACGCAACCCCTGTTAGAGAAATGCAGATTTGGGGTCCTTAGCTTGAACAAAATAAATAAGAGGAGGCGGAGCTAATGCCTGATCAGAATTCTACCGGAGATAAAGTTGAATTCTGATGTGATAAAACGACATCCTGTTTAAACCACGTCAAGGATTATTTATGAAACAGTACGGAGCTCAAATGCTTTTTCTCTTGCGGGTTTATCACAAGGTGAGTTCCTTTTTATATTTCCCTAATTTTTAAACACATGTGCTCTCTAGGACAGGTTAGCTCTGAGTGTTAGCGAGGCTTGCTAATGTAAACAAAGACGTCCAAAACACGTCAGGCATTGTTGGTCCGCCGCCGAATTGACGTCAGTTCGGATGGAATCTGTATCCGCTCGTTGTACACCCGTTTTTAAAAGATTTGGGTACGGAGGAAAAGAGAGAGGGTTTTATTTTCTGATGCTGCGTGAGTTCCCCGACGCACCGGGGACACATATTTATGTATAAAAGACATCACAAAGTGCATTTTGCATGATAGGTCCCCTTTAAACTTTTAGTTTTGCTTGATTCTGAGAAAGTGTTGCTTTATCTTTATGAAACAAAACTAATCCCATATTCATGCTCTTCTCTGGGTCACAGATTGTGAAATTCAGCACATAAGGTCGTCTGCCTGCATCCGTAACCCTGCTACTGTTTGTGACAACAAACAGAAGCACACAGGCATGATTTACTGAGCTGTTTTTTTTTCTTTTTAAAGTGATAGAATTTCTTTCATACTTGACTTCCTTTCCGACCCACTTTGTGTGGACTTGTTTGAAAAGGAACCTGAGGATCTGTACAGCAGATTTATCAATGACAGCTCCACTCCCCCTTGGGGTTTTTATAGAGAATGTCAGCAAGCCACCGCCCACCGCTAGTAAAGAACAATGTTTGTTTACGTGCCATGTGAAAGATGTTGGAAACTACTCTGAGAATCATCCATACTTAAAAAACATTTAGGATTATGAAGCTAACATGGTTTAGTATTGGTCTTTGCTTATTTAAAGACCGACATCAGCAGTCATTTAAAAAATCTGAATCTAATGGCATGAAAATGTTGCTCCGTCACCGTTGACATTTGTAAATAAGCAGTAATTGCAGCTAAATTAGCCATACTAACTTTATAAGTGAATAATGGGGCTGATGTTTTTCTGCCCTCTGAAGGCTAAGAAAACATTTCTGTATTCAGAACTTTAAAATCTGATCAATCAACATGTATATAAATTGGCACATAACACTGCAACAATTAACATTTAAAATGTTCTTGGAAAACTTAGAGAAAGGAGTACCGTACATTATTAAACTCATCAGGTGGTCCAAATAACAGTTTTGTTTATTCATTCTTTTTAATGTATCTACTCTTAAAACACTTGAATGTGTTATAAACACTTAGTTTTATATGTATACGTACTATTGGCGTTCTCTCCCTTTGTTTTTGCATTGTTTTGCATTAGCCGTAGCTGTTTCAGTCCTTCAGTATCACCCTGCCTAACACACACATGTATCTGACCTTTAGAGAGTGTTTGAAGCTGTAGGACGGGGTCTTGTCGTGTCCGTCTGTCGTCTCTTCTCGTTTCTTACAGAATAGCATCATCTTGTCATACAGGAACAGATGCCTCTGCATCGGCTTGAATCGGGCCAAGTCCTTCACCTGGAATCAGGAAACGGCTCATTGTATCTGTGTGCATTTCCCCCAATCATTCCATTGTTCCCTTATTCATCTTGAAGTGTTACTTTATTATCCAATTATGTGCGGTAACAAACAACTTAGGCCTATTACATAAAGTAATCTTGGTAATGTTACCTCTAAACTTTCAAGATATTTCAAACACCAGTTAAACGAAAATGTGTTCCCTTCATAACATTACATTTAGCTAAATACAAAGTGACTTACAGTAAGCGCAATACATCATGAATATACAATCTCAGAAAAAAAATGCAGATATATTCCGTAAATTAATATACATTTGTATGTCCCGTTCTATTCATCAACATATTTCAAAATATCACCTATCAAATGCTAGGTTTTATTTGTTATTGTGACTCGAGTTTTAGAGCACAAAATTGTAACGCATAGTTGTAATTTCTTCCCATCACATCGGTCTGGCTCTGTTTAAATAATGGTTCTTCTTTAGAGGTGTTCTGTTTGACTTGAGTTCAAATGAAAGGCATGTCCTCCTAATGTTGGTATTAAGGAATTCTGGTAATGTGGTGGTAATACTGCAGTGCTGTACCTTGCTGTGGCCTCTCTTGTGGTCGGTCCACACGTTGAAGGATCCCTGCATCAGCAGCTTTCCCAGTTCACTCAGGTTTCCCTGTGGGCATTAACACACACACACACACACACACACACTTAGACTTTAGGATGGACATAAAGGAAGACGGCCCATAAAAGAGGACAACACGTTCACCTATAAACACACAAATACACACACACACAAAATGGAACATGCCCACAGACACCTAAGACACAATATAAACAGAGCCTAGATTTTTTTCTCCCAGTACCACTATTGACACAGATAAATGTGTTGTTTGTGTTTAATCTCTGCAGTGTGCAGTTCATGCTCACATCGTCTTCAGACTTATAGGGACAATTCTTCAACATGATTCCATCTGAAAAGTAGACTTTGGAACAGCATCAGAGACGTATCCCCAGTAGTGTTAGTGTTACTTCCAAAATGTAATACAGTACATATTACTTATTACTGTCTTTATTAAGTAATAAGTTACATTACAATATTATTGTCTCTGAAATGTAATGAGTTACAATACTTTTATATTACTTTTGAGTTACTTTCACCAAAATAACTGCAGAGAATGGCTAGGTATTTTAAATGCTAAAATATAGTTTAGTGCAACTCATTATACATCCAGTGAAGGGCGATGTGGTATAGCATAACAGCTGTGTAGGCCCTTAAGGCTACTAACAACTTGTATTACACGGTTTAGTTGATTACTCGATTCTGATTAGTCAATTCAGAACACGTGACACGTTAATACAGTAGTACAGACCGCTGTCAAGGACTATAATGACCGTTGCTAAGGACGATCAAGAAAGAGAAAGGAAAAGAGGTTAAAAGAAGGAGCGCTGGACGTCAGATAAATCACCAGAAGAAGGCAGAGAGGAAGTAAACACTAACAGGAACACGGTATGGGCTCTGCAGAGTTTAAGGACTTGTTACTTGTTAGTGGATCAGAAACTGTGAACAGACTTGGACAGTGCTGCCGTAAAGTTGTTGTTGCAGTTCCAGAAATAAGATAATTTTTAAGTCAATAAAATAATTTCAATTAATATTGGGAGTCGAGTCGTTAGTTTGTTTGCAGGATAATGTGCAGCGACCTTTTTTCGCGATGTTAGTGAATTCTTAAAAACAAAACACCACTTAATTTCAGGTTAAAATGTGTTGTAATGTGCGTTACTGAGAATTGTAACAGGTTTTATATTATCCAAATGTCATTAGTAATGCATTATATTACTGCATTACAGCAAAAAGTAATACATTACTGTAACCCCGTTACACCCAACACTGATCCCCAGAGTAGATTGTTATCAATATGTCCTTAGAGGGATCCTGTTATGCTAATTTTGAGAAATCATATCAGCATTTAGTGCCTCTACTGTGACATGTCTCCATGCTTCAATGTTCAAAAGGCTCCTTCTTTTTATCATACTGCCTCTTTTAACCCTCTGTCTGAAACTAGAGCTAAGTCTGCTCTGATTGGTTAGTTGGCCGGCTCTGTTGTGATTGGTCAACTGCTTAGGGATGTGTGGGAAAAGTCCCTCCTCTTAGTCCAATGTCAAGTACAAGTACAATGTCTTGGAGCGCTAGCCAATTAAGGCCCACGTGTCACTATGCAACAGAAATCAACAAAGGAGTCCAGTGTAGGCTTTTCAGGCAGGGGGGGGGAGTTTGTGGGATAGAGATTTTAGCCGTTGCAGATCATTTACATGCACAAAAAATGATAACTCAACACAGGAAAGGGAAAATCCCAAAGAGCATAACAGGCCCCTTTAAATGAACTAACTGCACTCTGGATGTCATTTTTGGAGATCAAGTAAAACAGAATCAGTGCTTTTAGCCAAGTGCCGCAAATAATCTGCCACAAAATGTGTATCTCTGTGTAGCAAAGCAGATCCATACCATGATAGTCATCACAATTCCACTATACATAGAAGGCAAGTCTAATCAAGAGGCTAAACACACAGACTGAAATCCCCCAGGGACGGAAATGAATTCTCAGAAATGTGTGCAACAACTTCCTCAACTACACCCCTCGGCTTTCAATGATTTACTTATAAAGTTTTGTCAACAGAACCTTTTAAGAATGGCAAGTCACCCCTGAGAATGTTCGGTTAATAGATTATCTGATCTGGAGATTAAGCTGCATGGACAGACTTTTGCAAAGGATTCAAAGGCTACCAGTAACCAAAGTTTATTAGCATTGTTAAAAACAGCTTTGTATGTTGCTCGATAAGATTTTTCACACAATCAGTGAACATTCTACAGAAAAAAGGATGAATCACTCAAGCCAACAATGCTGTATCGTAACATTCAACTAACTTTGTTTTTATTATGTATGTAAGATGAAAGCTTGTACTCAATACATCTGGACCATGTGTTCTTTAGTTGTGACATAATTTCAGAACAAAATACCATGCATGACTAAATCCTCAAATAACATCCTTCTCAGCAGTCAGTGTAAACGCATTGAAATTTTACAAGTGCATTTTTTTACTTGAGGTTATTTAAGGCAAGGTTATGATGATATGATACCCATTTATTCAGTAAACATTCCAAAGGGATTTTTCAGTGGCTCAGCCTTCAGGGAATTAGCTTGGGAACCGGAGGGACGCTGGTACCAAAAACGGAGTGTTGACTGAGAGGTAACAGTTTGCCTTCTGGGCCCTGCCGAGGTGCTCTTGAGCAAATAAGCCTCAGACCCCCACACTGCTAACCTGGTGGTGTTTAATAGCTTCTATTAGGACCAGGAACCCTATTCTAAATGTCAATGTGTGTGCCATGCTGTGCATGTATGTCATGATTTAAGAGGAATTCATTTATTTCCATAGTGGTTTCATTCAAGTTTTAGTTATCGTAACAACAGTTGAGTTAAGTTAAGACGTTGTTTACTTAACATATTTGTGTACATGATGCTGAATACATTCTACAAACTGACCTCGAAACCAGTGATGGCTATCTGGTGCATGGAGTCGTTGACAGACTTGATGATGTCCAGCATGGTGGTCAGAGCCTCCTCCAGCTCAGCCGTCCCCTCGCCTTTATTGCATTTCAACATCTCCTGTAAGACAGGAAGGAAGAAGGAGGGGTGGTAGAAAGATCGAATAAGGCAGGGTAAAAGGAAGGAAACACAGAATAAAACACTACAATACCAAAGAGAAGTCCCAAAGGGAGAACATTACTGAAAATTACGGTTTGGGTCAGTAAGGTTGTGTATGAGGAGTGACTTTAGTTATGTGTTCCAAAGTGTTTCAATGTAATAAAAGTAAATGAGATATGAGAGATTGTATAGATAATTCCATTTCATTATTAACACTCCCTTAATAGTCCACTTGCCAACATTGTGAACCCAGGAATGTCGGACGTTTTTGTTTGATGTTAAAATGGTATACTATGGGACCCCAGCTGTGGCTTAACGAGCAATAATTAGTATAAATGCCTTATGGAAAGTAGGTTGAAAACAGCTTGGCGGATTTCAATATATTAGAGTAGTTTCTGGGCTTTTTGGGGATGCCAAATACATTTCTGACATTTTCAGGATCCAAAATGGCAATTTGAACCAGAAAGAGGCCATATTTGAACTCCTGGTGGCCGATTTTGAATAATTTTGAGTCGATTTTAAAGTTTTAGAAGACACTGGAATTGATTTGATCAAACAGATCATGCTTGATCAGCTTATCTATTGAAAATAGTTGAATAGTATACATCTTAGGATACTTCTGACGACAAATATAAGAACATGTACATTTTAATTCACAGACCATCACACTCTGTTATTGGAGGTTAAGTGGCAGCTAAACCAAACAAAAAAAATATGGCATTTGACTAGGGATGGGTATCGTTAAGGTTTTAATGGTACTTTTATCGATACCGCTTATCGGTCCGGTCTTTTAACGGTACTCTTATCGGTTCTTTTGGAGAAAAATAAGGTAAACTAACTAAACAAATTATGAAAAAAAATAACATTTATTTTTATTTAAATTAAATACATAATATTTCACATGAAAAGAAACAACAATGTTTTAACAAATCGTATTAAATAATCTGATGACAGAATAGCTGAAACTTTAACAAAATAAATAACTTGGTTATCTCTAATCATTAACTGATGTTTGTATAATTGAGTTAACTCCATATGTTGCTGCTAGCATACATAATAGAGAGCCGCAGTGACGCGTCGTAAAACCCGGAAGTAAGTTAGCATTTTTAGCACTTCCGGTTCCTTCCTCAAAAAGCAATGCATTTTTTCCATAGGGTTTTGGAAAATAGCTCGAAATAAGGTCTGTGGTTGACACAAATTTAAGAGGTAATTGACGTTTTGTTCTATGACATTAAATACATCAGCAGTGACCCCACTGGGGATTTTTGAAGAGTTTACGTGTCTGAAAAACGATGGTTGTTACCGAATGGCTGAATAGAACTACAGAAATTGTCGAGGCCGTTGTACGTCATTACGCCGAACACGTAAACACTCCCGCTAAGTTTGTTTTCCCCTGTGTTCTGCTTAAAAGCAAGTACATGCCTATCTTTAGTATCTGTATATATATATCTGACCATTAGAATCTGTATTTTTGAAATTGTCGTTTTTAACACCGTAGTTTTACAAATTATAGAATAATTAATTACCAGTGTTTTCCAATTTTACTCGGCAGTTCGTTTCGTTGTCTAACGTTAGCTAAAGCTAGCGCTACTAGTTAGCTACGCAATGGTTTATTGCTTTGCTCCGGGTTGCAGCCACAGGTCTTCGCATGGAACGTGCTTGTTCTATCGTTTCCCGGCCAATGTTTTCCAAAGGAGAGTCTGGATTCGTGCTATGAGGTAAGCTGATGTTACATTTTTGTCCATGTCACGGTGAAATGTAAATGATGGGTAGTGACTGTATCGCCGTTTTAGAGATGGCGCTGCTGAAAAGACCGCAACACAAGTAAAGATAATGAATACATCCTATTAAAACCTGTGTGGCTTATATGATAAGTCTTATTAGTACAAGCAGCATAACGT